ACCAAAATTATTCCATACCTCGAAGAAAATAGGTACCTTCTATGGACCCAAAGCTTTCCAAGCAGAAGTTGATTTTCTGATAGGAAACTGGGCCCCTATACATACTCACTACTACCTAAGAAAAAGCTTCACCTTTACTAGCAGTAGCTCAAGACGACTTTTACTTTATATAGCACTCATCCTACTCAGAGACATAAGGTAGAAAAAGCTGTGATAGATCGCATAGAATTGCAGGAACTATTCTTGCAGCAAGGTGAAATACAAACTATCTTAAATTCTACATGGCAAACAGCAATCATCTTAATCTTCCCCTCACAACTAATGTTGGTGCACCTATTTTGTAACAGCATAACTGTGTGTTCTGCTCAGCTGTTAACAATAGCTTTGTAAGCAAGTGCTGCAAGCCCTTATGGCTTTTTGATATGCCTGTGTAGCTGCTTTTCTTTCCATTTCCCCCACTATGTGCCAGGTTACAGAAACACTTCCAAGCAGCAGATTCACAAATAGAAAGAGTTCAAGGACAGGTTTCACACCTGCAACCTTGCAGCTCTGGGCTGTTACAGCCCTGAAGACCAGTCTCCTTACTATAAATCCAAGGCTTCTTCTAACATCCAGGTTTTACATTCAGTAATTTCAAACAGATTTTATGCTTTTTTACTTATTTGGAAGGGATGGAAGAAGGAATACTGCACGGAAGCTATGCGACCATTACATGTATCACATCTTACTTTGATGAAGTGATTTAATTGAATGCTACAGCAGTTCATGCAAATTAATTTATCACCCAATTTAAGACACTGTCTCACTCCAATTTCCACAAAAAAAAAAATAAATCAGAGAGCTACTCCTGTTTAACACTAACATACCATTCTACTTTTGCTTCCCTAAATACTACAGAGGGTAATACAAGTTAGCACAAACTATTAAAGGGTTAAGAAACAGTTCTAAATTTTATTTATTTTGGAATTCTACACAAGAACTTGTTTTCTAAAATACTATAAATACAATCTTTAGTTTATAGCAGCAGCAGAAAGCTATCACAAACACCCCATATGCCTCCTGAGTTCCAGACTGGGGAAATAGGAGATAAATACCTTAAAGCCAAAACAAAGCAGCCCTCCATATGATAATTGTGTGCTCTGTCCACGTATGTGCCAATGAGAAATTTTGACACCTGGAGTCTATTCAAATGGAATAAGGCATCAGCAAGAACTGTGTCTTAAGAAGTATATTTTTGTTTGTTTAGAAAACAAGTTGTTCTGTAGTTGGACAAATTGCCATGCAAGACCTATTTCTTGACTCCAGGTGTGATGTGATTTATGCAACTCATGCTTTCTCTCTGTTCATCTTGGACTGCATTACACCGCCTACCATAAACAGGACTTTTCTTGCCACGCTGCTCTAGTAGCTCTGCAAAATAGCTTAATAATCTCTGTCACAGAAAAAGTTTAAAAACAAAACCAAAAAACAAACATTAAACAAACAAAAAAACCCCTGTTTATATCGCTACAAGAAGTGTAAATTATCTAAAAATTAAAATAAAATTGGGAAGGAGCAAAACCATAACTCTGCATTGCCCTCAAGAAGAAATATAAACAGAGCTCTCTCCTAATACATACTGACTGTCCAAATGGAAAATAAAGATCTAATGACATTTTAGAAGAACAGGATAAACAAGTCCCTCTTCTACCTACCAGTCTCTCTACATAGAGGGACAGAGAAAGAATGCAAAGTCGTTTGTACATAGCTGAGACTGTAAGCCGCAGGAGCTTCTGCATTGCTACTTAATTCACTCAAATTCATTCAGATGGGGAGGGGGGGAGGGGGAAGAAAGAAGCCATTTCCACAAAAAAAAAAAAAGAAAAAAAAAAACCCAAATCCCATGTCTTACTTTTAGAAGTCAAGAAAACTCTGGAAATTATCCCAATGTAAATTTCAGCAAAATTTGCATTTTGCTGAAACAAGAACTTCAGGATTAGGCCACTTACGAAAGTAGCTCAGAGTTCCCCATTAAGTCTGGTTCGACTTGAGACACTGAGATGCTGAAAAACTTCAGAGTGAAAATTTAGTAACTGGCTTACCACAGAGGAAAGAAGTTGAAAAAAAAACCACACCAAACCAAACCAAACCAGTATCATCTGTGACTTATATTTACTACTGTAATAATCTTCATTTCCTGAAAGACAAACTTGAATTGTTTGCAAATAGATTTAATCACGTAATTGCCACATACACAAAAAATCTATGCGCTATCAGAACTCAGTACAGCTAATTACTAGAAGGCAAAATAAAGATTTTTATCGAAGCTAGTGTGTGTTCTCCAACTATTATATCTATCAATATTTATGTCACTTACAACTCTTTCTGGGTGGTTGCTGCATACATTTTGTGTGCAGTCAAGAAGCTTCCCGACTGCAAACATGCTTTTAAAAAGAAAAGCTGACCTGAACCCTGCATTTCCAATTCAAGCAGTGGATTCTGAAGCCTGTTAACTCCCTGGAGCAGCTGATAGTTAAAGACTTGTTTCCGCTTTTCTAACAATTTCCTGGTTTGCATAACAATCCTAAAAGAAACACACTCAAGAAGTTTTCCAGCACAAAGAGATTTTGTCTCCAACATACTTCTAGTTTCAAGGCACAGAAAATATTTATATAAAATTACAATAACTTTAGAGATATATTTGTCTACAAATATATTTACATATAAATATGTATCAGCTACTTGGTTTAAAACAAGATTATGATAATTTTGCCATATCCAGGAAATACAAAACATTGGCTTGTGCCTGCTGCTTAACTCATGCCATTGTGAATAAAGAGGGGGGAGGGAAGGGCTTTAATGTTTAATTTCCTGTTAAAAACACACACAGGATAAAATCTTCCAAAGAGCAGTTATAAAACACGCATTTGTTAGCCAAGAAACTAGGTAAATATGGAACGAAGCCCAGGCTCACTTTTATTCCTTCCCCCCTCTCCAAAGAGCAAAGTAACTGAAGGCCACAGCACGTATTTGGAGGCACTGAGCTCTACTGAGTGACTAGATAATTTACCAGCCTGGCTGATTTATGCACCCTGTATCCATTACGGTAGTTCCTCAGGTAATGCAGTGATGCACTTGGGCTCAAGGTATGGTACTCCCGTGTACACTGCGCACCTGCCAACCAACCATGGCACCAACAACTGACTACCATCCTGAAATAACTACCTGGACAAACACAAATAAAATATGCATTAATGTGTAGGCAGGACCTACCAACAGCCAGTTTCTAGCAACAACAGGCTTTAGCAGCAGCTGGAGACACCTCAGAGGATATTTTTTGCAAGTTACAAGGGGAAATACTACTTTCAGATACCACTGAAACTTAGTGCCATCCAACCTGGAACTATGACTTCACCTGAAGCAATTCAGCCTTTGTCACAGCTCTACCATGCATAATGATGCATTAGGCTATTCTGCAATTCACCATACTAGAACTCCTAGACAAGTACCAAATTTCTGTATAACAATTACAGCCTTTACCAACCCCAGTCCTTCTCTCTGTTGAAATGGCCAAATTAGATAAAAATATGGGCTGCATTTAGTAGAAATTGAACATTTATAACAATTTTCAACAGTAGCACTATTTTTGAAAATTACAATAAAAATAAATCATCAAATACTTTCTGTCTGCTGTGTCAGGGTCAAAGTCAGGTCCTCAGAGCACACTTTGCAGCATGGAAATAAAGAAGTTGTGGTACTTCTTGCAACCTGCTGGGATCCACATTCAAAGTTAGATGTAAACAACTCTGCGAGTGGCTTTGATTTTGTTTTGTTTTTCAAATGAGGATAAATTTATTATTGCAGATATAGCTCAAGAGCTTTCTTAGCTTTTGGTGGCATATTATTCCAATTAATACAGCTTAAGATTTTTAAGTAGATGCACCTTAAAAACCTTCTAGTCAATGCATTTAGTTTCATATTTGATGCAAGAGAAGAAAGACACAGAGATTATATATCTCTCTGGTGAATTAAACCTCATGGCAGGCACGCTGAATTTCTTGCAGACTATTTGCAAAACTGGCTTTGCGTCAATAAACAATCCTGAATTTATTTCTAAAACCTGCCCCTACAGCTGTTGTATCTGTGCTCTTTCCTTAAGAAATCAACCGCTGCTGACCACTGATTTAATGACAGTTCATCAGCAAATCTCATACTACTGCATAAGTTAATTTCACTTGCTGATAACTGGACTTAGTGCTCAAATTCCACGATTCCTCATGTGAGAATACAATTGACTAACAACACTAGGAGGGAAAAAGAGAATAGACTGGAGAAAATTTGTAACACAAAATGAGCCCTGACTTGCCTTCTCACTACTTCTTAGTACCCCCAAGCAATGAAATTTCAGGAAATTTATTATGTTCCCAGCCAACAGTCAGAATATATAAGCTGTTATACACCCTTTGCCTTACTGTATGTGTCTACTGCAGACTCCATGCAAAAGTAAGATTATTTTTTAATTTGCTTCTCAAAGGTAAGGCAAATTTATAAGTATTTACTGCTAGTCACATCAAGGTATTAAAGATTCAAGGGAAGTAGTAGTATTCTCTAGTGCAGTGGTGACCTGAGCCTTTAATCCAGATGAATTTAACTGTAGAATGCATTAGCTCTTCTCATAAAAGTTTAGTTTAATTTTAGTTCTCTCTCCATTTATCTTATGACTGTATAATCTTCAGTAGAGGTCAAAGAGATTTCCCCAAAGATACAGGATCTGCTTCTTTTTTAGAGGGGAAAAGCATACTTAAGACAGTTCGTCCTACTTTGAAACATACGTCACAGGACAGTACTCTCTATACTCTCATTTCTCCATACAATTCTTGCTTCTTTAGATGTTCCAAAGCAATTAAACAAGCATGCAGGTGCATGCACTCACATATACAAATGAAACATGAAATGAAACTACCTACTGAAGCTACACAGCCCATCTGCTGCAAAGATTGAAATTATTACTAACATCTTACCATCATCCAGCTCAAGACAGAGATTGTAGACAGCCAGAGGCCTCTTAATACGTTGTCCTTGTCTTCTCGATTGCCTTGGTGGGGCATTTGGAGGAGATACTGACATAGAGATTGGCTCAGGGAAAGTGGCATCAGGCAGGGTTTTGAAAATCTGCAATCAAGAACATAAAGGGTGTTAATTATTTATCACGAAGAGCAACCTGTGTAATGCAACTGTAAACCATTATGAAACAACATTTGTTTTGGATTTCATTCAAAGAAGGCAGGAGCCAAAAATCCACTCCTTCAAGTCTGGGAGTATGCCGTGGGTCTTTAATGAGTGCTTTTAAAATAAATAAATAAAATACGAAAATAAGCAAAGCACTGTCTACACATTAACCAAGCTCCAAATCAGTTAATTCAAAGACAAAATATTTGCAGCCACATTTGCCAACTAGGATGGAAGGGAAGAGGAAAGAGGATGATACTAACTTTATGAACCAGTAATCAAAAAGTTTTAAAGCTTGAGCTATGACTTACAGTTTTGCCAGAATACCCATTTTAATTTTAACAACTGGTTTTAATATCATCGTTTTAATATCAGCTATTTTATTTTTTTTTAAAGAAGAACCACAAACAAAAAAACACACTCCTGAAGAGAGGAAGGGGAAAAGTTTGAGGGGAGGAGTTTTTAGTGAGAGATGCCATAGTAACATACCATGTGATAATTTTTTCAGTTAACTACTGCATATTGAGTCACATTTATATTAAATTATGATATTCACAAAGACACATAGAAAAAGGATTGCAATTCTTGCCGTCATTTTATCTTTTGAGTCATGACCACTGACATTACTCCATACAAAATACCATGTCATTTCTCTCTGTTTTAACCAGCAATGCAGATCTGCTCAACCTGACAGCATTTCTACTTCAACTATTGCATACAGGGTATAGTCTAATGATGCCGATTTACCTCTAGAAAGTTAACAGTATGCTGATGTACAATTTAACAGCAGCCATTTATAAGTGATCATGGCAGATTCACATGAACAAATTAGCTTAATATGTATTTTATCAAAGACAAGCCAGCAGAAAAACACAAATAGCAGCTGTACAAGAAAAGCCTCATGTCTGTATGGCACCTTGCAGCAACACAACATGGTAATATAACAAGATACAATAGAACAGTATATCATGTTCTTTTACTCTGCAATTTTACATAGCCAGGTATCTGTACAGAAAATATTATAAAGAGGAGACTCATAATGAATCTTTGAGGGAGAAACATTTTATGAAGTAGAAATTCATGCAGAAGGTATGAAGAGACAGCACAGATAACACATTTTTGGATTATTACAACACATTTCAGGTGCAGCACTAAGCTAAAAAACCAGCCAGGCTACTCTACAGATGAAAAAATGCCATAAGCATCCTGTGATAAGACACTCAAGATATCATGTTAAAAGTATAAGAAACTCTACATGCCACCATACCTTGGCCTCTTAACCCCAAATAATAACACATGTAGGAATAGCATGACCCAAGAACGCACATATACACTGGCTTATAGCTACTTAATCATCACTCTCATAGTGGCAGGTAGAAGACTGTGCTGGTACAAAATAATCAAAAACACCATTTGCCACGAAAACTGTGGATGAAATATCATATTGCCAAAACTGGGCAGCAGTGGGCTGGAAGCCTATATCTGATGTGCAAAGGAAAACTCCAGTGGAAATATTACCTTCCTTCCCAATAAGTAAATGTTGCTATGGGGGAAGTAAAATGATGCAATTTGAACTTTCCCATACCAGTGTTAAGAAAACTGCCTCCCACTCCTTCACATGCCTATGAACAAGGGATTACGAGAGCACACCAAAGTAGTGCAAGGAACTCTTTAAAATGTTTATAAAGAAGAAAGGAAAGAATCCAACCTGGTTCTCCCCAGTACAGACACAGCAGCACTCTCAGACAGTGTACAAAGCTCTAACTATGCTCAGAGTGCTAAAGCCATTTCTTAAAACATGATGCCATTTACAATAATGAAATCTAATGTGCACCTACATGGCACTTGGCTAACAGTACCACACTGCCCCCTTATGTGTAAATACAAGGTTAAATTGAGCAGTTTTAGGGATAAATATTTGCTTCTGAAAATTTCAAAAGTACCAAAACTCTAAATGTCATCTTTTCCATGGACTACGTGTTGCATTTGGGCTCCCTGGTAAATAACTCTGCCAAGAAGTTTCAGCATGCTGTTTACTATGTCACATCCCACAGCTATGATTATTTGTACAGCCTTATCCACACATCTCCACTGAAATTACTGATGGTGAGAAGAACAAGGATTCGCCAGGAGTACTTTGTAAGAGATGAGCTTTCTTGTATGCATTTAGGTGGCTTGCACAGGTTGCAGTAAACTTCTTAGGCATTTTTCTCATCATTTCTCACAAATATTTCTATATACTCATCTAAAACTATTAGCTGAAACTAAGAGTCACAAAACTAAAACACGGCAATCTTACTCAATGATACTCAGTGCCAGACACACAACAAGATAATGCAGACAAGCAACGACTCCAAGTAGATTTCTAATTGCAAGTAGCTACATGATGTGAAAAAAAGGTTGATGATTTGCTCTGTGTTATGTAGATAAAAAGTCTTATACTATAAACAGGAAAAATAACTAGAAAGCAGAAAAGTCACACTTCAAACAGTAGCAGACCAGCACATGCTAGCTAACTTCATAGTGACACCAGTGGCAGATAGTCATGAGCTACCCAGAATAGTTCTCTCTCTAGTAACAAAGCAGAAGTTAGGGATACTGAGTCCTCTTTTACACTGTCAGGATAAGTGTATCACCTCTCTTTAATTTTTTTAGCAGCAGAACTGTGCACCAATGTTTTCCAACATCATTGCTCAGCACAACACAGTGCTACCCAGTAACAGCACTGAGCTGATGGCAGGCAGTCCAAGTTCCCTTCTTCAGACAAGATGCTCAGGCAGGCATCAGGCCTGTCCCCTGTTGTACCTCACTCTGCTCTCTACTTCTTGTTGTAACAGATTGGTACGGAATTTTCATTTTCTCTACGCTCACTGGGACAAAGGCAAGGGTACACACAAGCTCCATTCTCTCACTCCTACGTTTCTCTGATGCAATGTTACAATCTGTAACACTTTTTCCTCTTGTGTTCACATTAAATATCTGTTTCCACAGAGAGGAAAGGGTTTCCTCAAAGAGGTGATTAGAAATGAACTAGGGAATGCAACCTCTTGAGTATCTGCAGAGAGCATTTACCCATGCAGAGCAAATTGAACCTGTCATACTCAGCAATGAAATTATCAGGTACCATCAGTTGTCCTGAAGGATTCAGAGACACAGAAAGAATGAACAAAAAACCAAACCACACAAAGAACCACCACTAAAAAGATCGCTACTTTTTTCATTAAAAAAAAAACAGGGAACATCCTGCCCTCATGTGTTGCACATGAAAGTATACTTGGGGTCATTTTTGCTCTTTTAAGAAGCGCGTATTTGTTTTCATCCCTACTTTGGAATTTTCTTTTTGTCTTTTCAGTAGGAAAACAAAATCCAGCACAGTCCATCCATAACTAGACCTGCTTTTGCAGCAGCAGAAATCTCCTTTTGTTGCAGGCCAAAGAAACAGCTCAAGCCACAGTTTTGCAAAGGTGAGCATCTGAAAGGCAAGCAGAAGGTCAACCTCTACCCTAAGAAGTGCACATACAGCATTCAGCTTTTCTTTCTTGATTTATTTTCACTTAAATAGACAAGCACTTTCCTCATGCTTTAATGGATATGTGCTGCACTGACAGAAGCATTGTAATGCCTGCTTGAGAATGGGGGGATTGAGGCACGCTTTATTTCAGTTCTAGGGAGAAAAGCGTTTTGGTTTTGGTTTTATTCAAATTTGCTCCTAGCCTCATCAATTATTTAAATAACATTGAAGTATAAATGTTTCACAGCTAATAAAACATGCCTGCTGTGAGTGACCTGTTGGCAGAAGCACACTGCATGCGCACAGAAGATAGAATTCAAAATCATACACATACCATGTACTACGTGAGCACCGAAATGGTACTAACATTCTGATGTTTTGACTGACTTGCACAACAGTATGGGACCACACCTGCCTAAGTTTCAGAGTATCTTCTTGCACTGCAAGCTGTTGCTATCAGATGCATAGCAAGGCAACCACATATATCCAATCAGATGGAAAACCTCCCATGGGAGAACAGGATTGGAACATGCTAATTAACAGAAGATTTCTTTGCTACTCCAAAAAAAGCCTCCCTTCAAGTAAAAGTCAGATCTACCACCATCACTCATCTTGATTGCAGAAGTTACCACGTCTTAGACTAATGCCTGTATAAAGACAAGAATAAAGTTTGCTCATTGAATTACCTCACTCACAAAGCAAATAAAAATGTACTAAACCAACCTCAAAGGTTAGTTAAGGACTTCACAGTTACATCCAGCGTTGCACAATTATTGAAACTGTGGGCAAACTGAATTAGATTTATGGAATATCAGTTCTCTATAATTTATTTTTCAAAAGCATTGACATGCTACTCTTGACCTACTTGGGGGCAAACACAGAAGCTAAGTGAAACATTTACATATGGGAGAAGACTAACACATGTAGCACTGAAAATTTCATCATGCAACAAGTTCAACTGCTAGCCACCCCTATCCCAGTTAGTCCAGCATTTTAAATAGTTGTTCAGGTCTGATCTTACAGGAAAGCAGAATTTAAAGGTACACAATGACTTAAGTGGTGGATCAATCTTCAAGCCAGCAGTGTAAAAGTTGAAACACAAAAGATTAGCTCTTGTTGAGCTATTTAAAACACTGGTACGCTTGACCTATTTCTCTCTATGCAATAGTACCAAATGGATACTTTACAGGGCTAAACAAACCACAATCAATCTTGGATACACACTGCTAACAACAGCTCTGTCTAGAGCAGCAAGCCCAAGACCATCCCTCCATACAACTATCCCAATTCCCTAATCCTGTGTCCCACAAAGTCTACAGAAGCATTTCTTGAGAGTAATGAGCCAAATTCAACATATTATCATACTGTATTCTACCAGCAGATCCACATGGCAGCAGCCCAAGGAATTTTGCCAGATTCCCCGTAATCTGCA